TTAATTTTTTATAATACATGTTGATACCACTTTTTACTTAAGCAAATACCTTAATGATTCATAATAAAAGAAGAGAAACCATGTTAACATCGGAACATTTAAAAAAAAAAAATGATTAATTATATTTAAATAAAGATTTTTTTTAACCTAGGCAGTTTTTTATCATTAATTATTATTAAAAATTAGAAGGTGATATTTATTTAACAAATTATCTAATTATAATAATTAACATGATATTAGTGGTAAAATTAATGTTATGTTTAATTAGTTTTAATATCAATTAATGAAAAAGAGTGTTACTTTATTCTTTTTAAAATAATTGTTATTTTTTTATTTTTTAAATTAAAAATTTAAGGATAATTTATATATTTATTTATATTATTATTAAAAAAGTTAAAAGATAGTAAAAACTTTTTATAATTGAATAATTAATCAAAATAAATAATAATAATAAAATTAAAAAATGTTATTTATTTTAAAAAATAAAAAAAATAATTAATTTAAAAGAAATTTAAAATCAAAGAACAAACGTTATTTTGGGCAGAGGCAGTAATTACATTTTAGAAAAATCCATAAAATAAATCAAAATGAAAATTAAGATGTTTCCTTCTTCTTTATTCATTTCATCCTAGCATCTCGTCTTTGAAAAAACAGTGTGCCTCTCACTCTCCCTTTCCTTTCCCTTCCTCCACGCCTCTTTCCTTTTCTTCCTTCAACTGCCATCCTTTTCCTCCGCTACTCGCTTCTTTCAAGATCATTCTTTTTCTCCAATCTCTCCAATAATAAAAAAAGAAGAAGTGGTTTTGGAATTTTTGTTGACTTTAATTGTCCTCCGTTTTCTTGGCAACCAAACGGGGGACAAAGAAAAAGAACAACGCCTGAGAATGCTTAGACCTGGGTTGCATTTTGGGAGAGCTCGCGGCGAGGATCGGTTCTACATTCCTGTAAAAGCTAGAAAGAATCAGAATCAAAACCAAAAACAGCGAAAACAGAGGCAACAGAAACAGCAAGAACATGCTGTTCAGGGTGAAGATAACCACAAAAACTATGGTTCATCATTATCTACATCGCAAAAGAGCAAGACTGTAGGTCCTGATAATAGGAAGATTGCATCAGAAGCTTCTCTTTCAAGTCTGGTTTCAGGCTCCGAGGCACCTGTGATTTCTCAGAGTAATCTTCAGAGATTTCTGGAATCCACCACGCCATTGGTCCCAGCTCAGTATTTATCTAAGGTCGACTTTTTTTCTTGTCTTTTCATATTTACCTTCTGTTTGGTACCTGGGAAAGTGTAGGAATGGTCAAAATTTAATGTTTTTGGATGTGGGTGAAGTTTATCGGTCGGTGAATTTAGTGAACTCCGTTTGGTTGAGACTAATGTAACAATCATAGAAAGGACAGTAAGAATGTTGGGAATTCAGGAAAAATCATTAAGGTGAAATTGTTTGGTTTTTCGTTATGGATTTTGTACTTTATTGCTTGGGATTGAAGATAGAGGGGAACTTAGATCTGCTAAGTGTAGACTAAAGTGCAGCAGTGAGGGCATTGTTTGGGTTTCGACCCGTTAGATTTTTTTTTTTTTTATCTCCATTCTTTAATTGCATGGAGAAAGCATGAGACTTATAATTTTGATTTCTATATGAGTTTCTCTGTGTATCTTGAACATTTATATTTAAGTTGTGATTGTGCATGTGCAGACAACAATGAGGGGATGGAGGACTTGCAATGTTGAGTTTCAGCCTTACTTCACATTAGATGATCTATGGACATCTTTTGAAGAATGGAGTGCATATGGAGCAGGAGTTCCTTTGGTGCTTGATGGCAGTGATTATGTCATGCAATATTATGTGCCGTACTTATCTGGTATCCAGTTATATGTTGAATCTCTACAATCAGATGCTAAGTCAAGGTAGAAGATTTCCTCCGTTATTTCTTGGATTACTAAAAAATATGTTATCTATGATGAGCAATACAGATTTTGTTTGCATACTCGCTTTATATTTCTAGTGTATTGTTGTTACTTCTTTCTTTTCTGTTGAATTCAGTTTAAATTTTAGCAATTTTATTAGTTTCTATATGCTTGTTGATTTGTCTTCATAATGTTGGGTCCACTTCTATATTTTGGGCTTTGAGTTAGGTCAGCTTTCCATGTGAAAATTTCTGTCATTTTTTTTTTTCAGTTGTTGAGCAGAAGATTTACCATCTTGTAGCTCCAGAGGGAAAACTTTACTTCCTACTCTTTATTGTTTGTGTGACTCCCGTTCTTACTCTTTGCGTAGTTCTTGAAATGGACAAAAGAAAGTGCTTACTGAATTCTGATGTTTAAAAAAGCTTTAAATTATTCTGAATCATTGTAGTGCATCTTCTCTTTTTTGATTGCGTTGCTTCTGCATCTCTTTTTTGTCAGTTGTAATTTCCTCAAATTTTAATCCTCTATTGTAGTAAAAACCAAAATCTCTGTTTTTTCCCTATGTTTTCAGTTTTTGTCTACGTTAGTCAGAAGCTAAAATTTAGTCAACAAACTTCCAGTATAAGTTTTTTGTTTTACGTTGTTATTTATTCAATTGAAAACTTTATTCTTTGTTATTTTCCCTTTTATCCTTTTTTTATCCTTTTTGTTTTATTTTGTGTAAAGGAATGGTTTGCCACATTATTGAAATTTAGGAGATAATATTGGATGAACGTCATATTAGATTTAGATCTAAAACTCATTATGTTACATGGTAAATGATTTAGGGCTTGTTTCCTAATATTTTGGTTTGAGATGAGATATAAGGATGGCTTTGGATATTGAACTCTATCTTTTTAAGCATGAAGCATGGGGACGTTAGAATGTTCTCTTATTTTGATTTCAGTGATTCTTGAGCTTAATTGGTTCCAGAGTACATATATTTTGGGCCTGTGCAAGGTATACTGTGTTCATATTATTGTTTCACAAATAACTTTCTGGCTGGTGTTAATCCATGTGCTTTTTGCTTGTTGATGACTCAAATATATAGGTACTTGTACCACTTGATGCTCTTAATATAAAAGGGATTATTACTATTTTACAAAAATTAAGCACCATTGTTTTAGTTTATAAGCATGTTATGCTTTATCCTCAAAGCAATTGTAACCACTGGTGGAGATGTTTGTGGATATCTTCTGGATGCTTAACTGTTTAATGGAGTATCTCTAAATGTGATGACTTATTGGAAGCCATGTAAGAAATAATTACTTATTACTCAATGTGTGCTATTATATTGTGATATATTAGCAGTTTCTGCATTGCATGATTACTATATATATATATATATATATATATATTTTATCAAACAAGGCTAGTTGTTTTGTTGCTATCATTGACCCCTTTTCCGCTGTGTTAGAATTTTGCTGCATGGACTGTCGGGAGTTTTTTTAGTATAAAGTATTCTTTGGCTTATTAACTTGTAACAAAATCTTCTCTTGTATTGTCAGGCTTGGTGAAGAAAGTGATGGTGACTACTACAGAGACTCAAGTAGTGATGGTAGTGATTATGAAATTGAAGGTGTTAAGTTTTCTAGAGGGAAATGTCGTTATCAAAATTTGAGAAATGAGATCCCTTCTAGAATGAATGGTTTGTCTATAAGTGATAGTATAATGCAAGAAGGCTTTTCTAGCAATAATACTGAAGCTGGGAGTTTTCAGCATCCCCTGGTGTTTGAATTTCTTGACCAGGGTAGTCCTTATTGTCGTGAACCCTTGGCAGATAAGGCTAGTTGTTTTCTTAATCCATTTACTCAAAGTTCTTTGGCTTAGTGTTAACTTCAAATTTTTATTTGACATAACCTCATGACAGATTTCAGATCTTGCACGCCATTATCCTAAGCTAAAGACATTAAGAAGTTGTGACTTACTGCCTATTAGTTGGGTATCTGTTGCCTGGTAAAGTTGGTTTGATTCTTTTATGCTTGTTGACTTCTGTATTAATGTATTATATATGGTATTCATTTGCTTGGATTGTTATTCTTGTAGGTATCCTATTTACCGAATACCCACTGGTCCAACATTAAAAGATTTGGACGCTTGTTTTCTGACCTATCATTCCCTTTCCGCACCCACGGAAGGTAATTTCAACAACTTCTCATTCCGTTTCCCTGAGGCTTACTCTCTACTGCTGCCAGGGTTTTTCACATTGTTGTCCTGTTTGAGCTTAGTTCTCTCTATTTTTTTCTTTCATGAACATTTTATCCATTTTGAGTTTTTCTCCTATACTTTAAGGCAAATGGTCAAAACAGTGATAAGGTGCACTCAATCTTGGCACATTCTTATGCTTTCATGCCATATGGCATGATGTTTTTCTCTGTTAATGGATCATAGGGATTTTTTATTTTTTTATTTTTTTATTTGCCTCAGTTCTCTATGCAAAAATAGTCCTGAATATTGCTGCACTATGGCTTTAATAGTTAATACTCCTAAGGAACTGCTTTGATTTAATAGGTGCAAAAATAACTTTCTTTTTGTGCTACTGCTGGTGAAAACAAGAGTTAGTCACTTGACACTGAAAGTTGAACTTGCTTCATTTGGTATTGTTTTATCCTCCATTGAATTCACTTATCAGTTGAAAACATCATACTTGTTTAATGGTATCATAGTAAATTGCTACCCTCCAACATTGATCTATGATGCTAATAAAAGTACAAGATTTGTTCTGTACACCTTCATGCAATGACCTGTTCCAGTAATTTCCAGTATCTTCTTTGGTTTATAGCTCTTTCTGTGTGTCCTATAACTCTTTTCTTGGACGTTTTGTTTTTTGTTCCACGCAAATCTTTATTTTATTCATGTGTTTCGCTGAAAAAAAAAATTATTCATGTGTTTCTGTTGTCTCTAGATTCTTAAAACAGTATTCCTCTGTCTCTTTCCTATTTATGAATTTGTGTACAACTTTGTAATTGCACTCTTTTAATCATGGGAATTTCAAAGATACTTTCATGTTTTGACTAGTAGACATGGGGTATCACAAGTATGGCGACCCTTTAGTCTGAAAAGTTTCTTCAATTTAAAAAATGGAATGTGTTGCCTTTTGGTTAAGGTTATCCTGAGAGCATCAGATGTTGGGACTGGAGTGAAGTTGACTCTTCCATAATAATTTATTGGCCTTTGATTGGCTTGCTTTTGAGGCTATTGGCACCGGCCGCTGGATAAAGGATCTGAATCTTTGTCCACCCGATTGGGAATTACATATGTGGCTCTAAATTAATAATATTTTCTAATTCCTTAAATTGCCTCACATATGTATTGACTTCTCTGCAATTTGGCCTCTCTGAGATTTGTTTGATGCATTTTGTATCTTTTGTGCTCTTATTCTGAAGTCTATTTTCTTCTCTATTTATCCTTCACAATATATCCTAATTTCTTGCTTGTTTTATAATGTTTTTGACATATATTGAATCATAAAAACATGTAATGAACAACCTAATTTATTCATTACAATTTTGCAAATTCCACCACCACCCTCTTGATTGCATCAATGCCATTACAGTTGAGAATATTTTTAATTACAGTAATAATATAATTTTAGAACCATATTTCGAAATGGATCCTTTCATATGCTGGAACTTTGTGCCTTTTTCCCTTTTCTAATTTTTTTCCCCTCTTTAAAATTGGTTAAATAGATTTACCTGTATTTGACTTCTGCAGGCAATGGAAGTAGACATGCACCATTTGTAGTCTATCCCAATGAGGTGGATGGTATCCCAAAGATTTCCTTATCCGTTTTCGGAATGGCTTCTTACAAATTCAAAGGATCCATGTGGGCACGAAATGGTGCAAATGAAAGTGAGCATCAACTTGCAAATTCCCTCATGAAGGCTGCTGAGAACCGGCTAAGACTGCTCCAGGTCAATCACCCAGATTTTCAGTTTTTCGCTTCACATGGAATGTATGACAGGTGAATTCAAGAGACATGCTGGTGGTCTAACTCTCCCTTCCCTTCTGATTGCGCTGCAAAAAACGAAACAAAAAAATAATAATGCAGAAAACATGCATGCTTAGCATGTTATGAAATTGAGGATATAAGTTTTGGGAATTGTTGGTAACATGCTTTTTGAGGGAAATATGCCTGGTGTGTTTTTCCCATTACTTGTGATGGACAATACACAGAAAAAAAGTGAACTAGTCGGAGATTTTAATGTGATAGAAGAGGATAGCTTAAGACGGATAATAAACAGATCGAAGAATTCATGTTGTTAGAGGAAGCAAAATGGACTGAGAGAGCAGCTGGTAATGAACAAGATGATATCTGGGAGATGGCCTACACGATTGAAAGTTGTTTCCACAAACTTCCAGGGAGAATAAAATCGCCTGCTCCTCAAACTGCTTACTTTATTTCGGTTTTATGACAAAGAAGATTATGTGGTTGAATAGGCATTGTTACAGCTTTCAAAGAGATGTTTATGTGGTTGATGTGGAAGAAATTTAATCTCAGGTTGTTAACTTATGTGTTGTTTATTATTTGAGAATAAAAAGGGAAAAATGAGAAGGCTATGGTTCAACTTGCATGTATGTCTTATATATTTTCCGGTCTCGTACGTGCATGCAGAGATACTAATGTATGCCCAATTCCCACGTTCTTCGATGTCATATGGTTATCTTCCCAATGATGATTAAATTTTTTTGTTTGTGCAAATGGGAATTTTATAAATGGTAGATAAGATCAAGCTTTACAAAAGTTGGTTCATACACAAAACAACTACATCGTAAAAAAAAACAAGAAGCACAAAAAAGAACAAAGTCAGAAACAACTAAAGGTTTTTCCATTATTGCACCGTGCTTGGCAAGTGTATAAGTAAATTCATTGGCTTCTCTAAATGCATGCTGAAGTACAATCGTCTCAAATTATCGGATCAATGATCTGCACAGAGTCACAATCAAGCTATGAGATCTGTTAGCGAAATATTTAATTGTTATTCAGTGTGCTAACAGCGAAGAGAATCAGATTTTAACTTCAACTCTCGTAAAACCACTTTCAAGAGCAATTCGGAGACCAGTTTTGATTCCCCAGAACTCTGCTGCATTATTCGAGCCATGCCCGAGGTTCTTCGCAAATCCTACAATCCAATTACCATATTCATCTAGCTCGAAGAACACCCCCCAGCACCAGACATGCCAGGATTAACTTTGGACGATCCATCAAAGTTTAGCTTGATCCATCCAGATTTTGGGGGGTGGCCATTTAACAAGAATAAAGCTGAAGACGGATTTGGAAACTGAGTGGGGGAGTAGAAACCAGAATTCCGCAGCAAAAGCAAAGGATTTAGAAGGAATCAGATGCAAGTTAGAGAGTTGTTGGAAGCAAAGTGAGTAGTTCCAATCAAGCCAAATGTGCCAAAGGGTCGCACAAAAGAGCGCAGACCATGGCAATCTTGGTCTGGGGAGCATCAGCTTTGAGGTGCAATTTCAGCAAAGCCAGGATTGAAGATCATGACTGAAGGTGGAGCAAGAGAATCACACAGGGTCTAACAACGGCGGAAGATAGATGGGCAAGTACGGGTGATGTGGATAGAAGTTTCAGGCGCTGCGCTGCAACGAGGGCAGATGGGTGAGATTTGAAGACCTCTTCTATTCACAAGGTGGAGTTCTAGATGGCAAACGGTCATGAGCAAAGAGCCAAAGAAAATCTATTCACAACAACGGGGCTTTTCCAGATAGGGACCAGCCAATGGTGTCTGACGTGGTAAAGAGATAAATAGTTCAGTGGTGGTCAGGTACTTTTTTTCTTTTTTTTAATTAAGGTATTTGAGTTCGAATCTCATACAATAAAAAATAAGAAATGGTTGTCTCTTATTATATAAT